TGGTAGGTAGTCTGACCTCTTTCTCTTGCTGCCTTTAGGATTTTTTCTTTTATACCTACTTTGTTTAGGCCAATTACTTCGTGTCTAGGAGTTGTTATATATATATAGTTTTATAGTTTGGTTTTTACCTTTAAGTCTTTAATCTATTTTGAGTTGATTTTGTATATGATACAAGATAGGGGTCTAATTTCATTTTTCTGTATGTAGATACCCAGTTTTCTCAGCAACATTTATTGAAGAGACTGTCTTTTCTATAGTGTATATTCTGGATACCTTTGTCAAAAATCCATAGGTTGTAAGTATGTGGATTTATATCTGTGTTCTCTCTATTCTGTTCCATTGACCTATGTGTCTATTATGCCAGTACTATACAATTTTGGCTACTATAGCTTTACAGTATAGTTTGAAGTCAGTTAGTGTGATGCCTCTTGCTTTGTTCTTTTTGCTCAAGTCTTTTGTGGTTCCATATGAATTTTAGTATTTTTTTTCTATTTCTGTGAAGAATATCATTGATATTATGATAGGAGTTACTTTAGCCTATAGCTTACTTTGGATGATGTAGTCACTTAAATAGTATTCTTCCAATCCATGAACATGGACTATCTTTCCATTTGTTTGTGTCTTCTTAAATTCCTTTCATCAGTGTTTTATAGTTTTTATTTTAAATATCTTTCACCTCCTTGGTTAAATTTATTCATATAAATTTTATTTTTTGTAGCTCTTCTAAATGGAATTGCTTTCTTGATTTATTTTTCAGATTGTTTGTTATTGATACATAGAAATGTATGTTTTTTAAAAAAATCTTCAACTTCACTGAATTTGTTTATTTATTCTAACAGTTTCCTTGTGGAATATTTAGGGTTTTCTATATATAACATCATGTCATCTGTAAACAGTGACAATTTTACTTCCTCTTTTCCAGTTTCGATGACCTTTATTTATTTTGCTTAGTTGCTCTGACTAGGACTTTCAGTACTATGTTGAATAAAAGTGGCAAAGATGGCATCTTTATCTTGTTTTGGATCATAAAGTAAAAGTTTTCAACTTTTCCCTATTCACCATATATAGCCTTTATTATGTTGTGGTATGTTCCTTCTGTGCCTAATTTGTTGAAAGTCTTTTTATTTTTTTTATTTTTTTATTTTTTGAGTTGGAGTCTCACTCTGTCGCCCAGACTGGAGTGTAGTGGCCGCTCCCGGCCACCGCAGCCTCGACCTGCTGGACTCCGGCGATCCTTCCGCCTCAGCCTTCCAGGTAGCCGGAATTACAGGCATGCGCTACCACGCCCAGCTGATTTTTTGATTTATTGTAGAGATGAGGTCTTGCTGCCCAGGTGGGTCTCGAACCCGCGGGCTCAGGCAATCCACTCACCTCAGCCTCCCAAAGGCGCAGGATTACAGGCTGAGCCACCGAGCCTGGCTGTCTTTTTATTTTTAATCATCAGTGGATGTTGAATGTTATCAAATACTTTTTGTGCATCTATTGAAATAATTGTGTGGGGTTTTCCATGATTCTGTTGATGTGATGTATCATGCTTATTGCTTTGTATGTGTTGAACCATCCTGCATCCCTGGGATAAATCCCACTTCAGTCATGGTGAATGATCTTTTTAATATGTTGTTAAATTCAGTTTGCTCATATTTTGTTGAGGATTTTTGCATCTATGCTCTTCAGAAGTATTAGCCTATAGTTTTCTTTTGGTGTTGTTTTCTTGTCTGGTTTTGTCATTTTGGTGATGCTGACTTTGTAGAATGAGTTTGGAAGAATTCCTTCCTCTTTAATTTTTTGGAATATTTTGAGAATAATTGGTATTAGTTCCTCTTTAGAATTCAGCAATGAAGCTACCAGGTCCTGGACTTTTCTTTGATGGAAGACTTTTTATTACTGATTTAATCTTGCTACTTGTTAGGTATCTGTTCGGATTTTCTTTTTCTTCATGATTCAGTTTTGGTGGGTTTTATGTGTCAGGAATTTATCCATTTCTTCTGGATTTTCCAATTTGTTGGCATATAGTGATTCATAGTAGTACATTATTTTTTATTTCTTTATTTTTGTATTTCTGTGGTATCAATTGCAATGTCTTTTTTTTGCATTGGATTTTATTTGTCATCTTTTTATCTTAGTCTAGCTAAAGTATGTCAATTTTGTTTATCTTTTTTTTAAAAACTCTGTTTTATTAATCTTTTGTATTTTTTTAATCTCTATTTTGTTTAGTTCTGCTTCAATATTTATTATTTATTTTCCTTTAGTTTTAGGTTTAGTTTGTTCTTCTTTTTCCTATAAATGTTCTTGAGCTTTATTCTGAGCTGTGATTCAGTTACTCAAAACAGTTTGATATTTTGAGTCCTCCTTTTATTATTTTTTAGGCAGAAGTAGAACAGTTTTTAGTGTGGGACTATTCACTATTCAGGCAAGTTGCTTCTAAGTATTCTATCCAGTACTTCATGAATGATGAGGTTTTCCATTCTGGCTGGTAGAAGTAGGCAATATTCTGTTTCCTGTATTAGTTCTCATTTTCCTCAAATCCTTTCAGATAGTTATTCTCAAAGCCTTGGATTTTTTTCCTCACTCATGGGTTTATCAGTAGTAATCTGCTGAATACTTTAGGGTGATACAGATCTTTGTAATTATTTCTCTCTTCTCCTCTCACCCCTCTCATACTGTGTCCTGCTAACTCAGTCAGCCTTGGTATCCCCTTACCCTCAGTTGTGTCTTCTCAGCTCAAGTCCACTAGGTTCCACTTGGGTTTCCCTTACCTACACAGCAACCTGAAAACTCTCTCAATGTGGTAAGCTAGAGCAACCATAATGCTAATTTGATTGTTTCTCAACTCATAGGGATCATGTTCCTTCATTGCTGTTAGGTCAGGCCCGACAGGGGTTGTGTGTGTGATCTGTTATCACGTGAAAGATGCAAAGAATTGCATAGAAGTAGACTGGAAAAATACAATTTATTTAAAAAGTAAATTAGAGAGAGAGAGAATGAATTATCGATAACTACCTCTGAGAAACTGTTTCTGTCCTTGGTTGGTGATGAGAGGGTAAATTAAAGTGAACTGCCAGAAAAACATGACAAAGCTAAGCAATGTTAAATGGCTACTCATTGGGTATATTGGCTCCATATTATGTCCTTTTAGTTGTCTAATATTTGGTTTCCTGAAAATTGTTTCATATATTTTATGGTTTTTTTTTGTTATCTCAGGCAGATGGGTAAATATAGTCACTTGTATTCCATCGTGACCAGAGCAGAAATTCTTGGACTGTTGAAATGTTATCATTTTTAAGATTACCACTTAAGTTTATTTTATTGCAATAATTAATTATCTTCTTTACAACATTAATTTTTCATTTATTTCTGCACATCTATTGCTGTTCCAGTAGATTTTTTTCATTGGTTGTCTTACTCCCTTACATAGTTTCAACCGATTACATTATTCTTCAGAATCTGGTTGTACTACTTAGTCTTTAGTTTCATTTCTTCTACTATTGATGAAAAATTAATAAATAATTATTTTGTTTCTATATTAAAAAATACTTGTTAAGGAGAGTTCATTTCTTTTTCTAAAAGATGCTTGGTAGAGATAGCTTATTTAAAACTATTTTATCAGTTAATATATTTAAGATTGTGTTTTACTGTGAGGTTATGTTAAAGTTTTTAATTATAACAGAGATAACGTAAGTATTTTCATAGTTACACTGATGAAAAATTTACAATACTCTGACTACTACTATGCTAGCAGCCAGTTGCTAATATTAGATCTATGTTTTGCCTATTTTTAGTATATTGTGGGGTAAGCCCCGAGTTACTTAGTGGATTAAAAACTACATGGCACACTCCCTTTTATGTTATGTCTGTACATATATACCCTTATTTCTTGGTGCTCAGTTTACCAGCAAAGTTCAATTCTTCTTTCTTCTCCTGAAAATTTAGTACATTCTAGGATAACTCCTGCCACTTCACACTTTCCTCCTCTTTCACTAACCATATTCCTAGGCCAGGCATGGCGTCTCATATCTGTAATCCCAGCACTTAGGGAGACAGAGGGGAGAGGATTATCTGAGCCCAAATGTTCTAGGTTGGCCTGGAAAACTTGGTGAGCCCTTCTCTCCACAAATGATACCTGCACATGCATGTTTATTGCAGCACTATTCACAATAGCAAAAGCATGTAACACACTGTGCTGCCCATCAAAAGTGGACTGGATTTTAAAACTGTGGCACATATACATAATGGAATACTATACCACCATAAAGAAGGATAAAATTATGGACTTTGCAGCAACTTGGATGGATTTAGAGTCTATAATACTTGGTAATCAATCAGAGAAACAGAACTGAGTACCATATGTACTCACTCATAAGTGGATCCTAAATATTTATCATATTACTGTAAGAAAGGGATTGGCAGTAGCAGGAAACTGTCAGGGGAGAGGGAGGACCATATAACATCAATAAAGGGTGCATGATCTCAAACTAGGTAAAGTGGGGACCAAAGGGAGATCCAAAGTTTACCATTAAAATGACCACTTATCTACCTAATGCTGAATTTTACCCCACATCCTTAAAATAATTAATTTTTAAAAAGATCTAGCCTGGCGTGGTAGTGCATGCCTGTAGTTCCATATGTTTGGAAGGCAGAGGTGGAAGGATTGCCTAAATCCTCAAGGTCCAGGCTGAGGTAGCTGTGATTGTGTGGCTGCACTCCAGCCTGGATGACAGAGTGAGACTCCGACTCAAAAACATTTTAAAAAATCACATTTCAGTTCCACAGGTTTTGCATTGCCCACTTTAAAAGTGACAAGTAAAGATGAACTATATATTGAGAACTTGATTTCAAGATTCTCTTTTGACAGTTAACTGTGCAGAGTATAGGTTTTATTCTCCTTAAGTATAGGTCAAGTAAAATAGATTTCAAGGCTACTGATGCTGTCATATTTTAAGAAAATGTAAAATGATATATATAATTTCGCATATATATATATTCTTTTCACTTTAATTTAGGATTTGCTTTCCCATATGCTTCATATGGACCCACATCAGCGGTACACTACTGAACAAGTATTAAAGCACTCATGGATAATCCACAGAGACGAGTTGTCAAATGATGAGCCAAAGAGAAATGATGCATCACATGTCATTAAGGTAAAACAAACATACCTTTATGTGCCTTCCAAATATTTGATACCTAATAGAGCTATTATATGCCATTCATTGATGATACTTAAATAATTCCTTAAAATATTATTTCTTAAAAGTAGATTTTTTGTTTTTTTAAATAACAGCCATGTGCTCTTCTTAACCTTCTTTACTACTACCTTTCTGATAATAAAATAAAAATTTATTGATTGTACTTACCTTGCTTTTGAGACCCACTAGAGTTAGGAATGGACTAAATGCAAGTTTCCTATTGAAACAAAATATTACTGTTAGTTCCCAAATTTTTGTAAGAAGCATAGTTATTGAAATGAAAAATATACAAGTAATCAGGTATTAGGAAGCATCAATGAAGAGATAAAGTATATTCATTTATTTTCCAGGGGAAAATGTTTTGTTGTAGTTAACATCTCATGATATAATGTGAACATTTTTGGTCCTTGATTTTTGTTTTGTTTTGCTTTACCTCCAGAGACTATTGCTCAATTTATGATATTTTCTCATTATTTTAGGGAGCAGTAATTGCCACATATTCTGCCCTGACTCAGAAGACCCTTCAGCCAGTCCTAGAGCCTGTTGCTGCTTCAAGCTTAGCTCAACGACGGAGCATGAAAAAGAGAACGTCAACTGGCCTATAAGATTTGCCGTGTTCCTTGGCAAAACTGGATGGAAAGAAAATTTAATGTGTGGCATTTTGCCTAATCTTATATCAAAGACATTGTTTTCTACTACATTACTTGAATATTATGTTTAAGTCCCCATTTTGGGGGGGAGTGAGATTAAAAAAATAAATGCACAGGTCCGCGATGTTCATACTATGTTGTTTTGCAGTAGTGTCTAAGTGTTTATTTAGGCATATATTTGGTGTCCACAAGGTTCTAACAACTTCTCTGCACACTAATTTCTAATTTCTTTTTTTCAAATGAAGTTACTTTAACAATTTTGCTGATTTCATACAATAATGGTTTGGGGACTCATTACCAACAATCATGATGCATATATAATGTAATGACAAGCAATGTTAATAATATTTAACATCAGATTCAGAAGGATAGGCTTTTTAAAAAAGAAAAGCAAACAAAAAAATTATTGTAGAATTTTGTTGTATACAACCAAAGGATTCCATTCATTTGATTTTCTATAGTTACTACAATGTAGACATAACAGTTTGGTACCAGAGCAAAATACATTTTGGTAATAGATGAATTTCTGATAGGGTTGGTGCCAAGGTTTTTATAAAAAAAATTATATATAATGTGTGCAGACAGATCTGTATGCTATACATAAGTGGCCTCATCTAGAAATAAATGTTTCTATAAGGCCTCTGTACAGCTTACATCTAATGGAATTGTATGAGTAAGTAATTTTTTAACCAAAAGCTTTATACTGGTCATGTAATCTTCTAAATAGATCATAGTTAAGCCTTTGGAAAAAGAAAGTATATGGTGTTGACACTATCCTGGGGTTATGTAGGTTGACTTTCAAGTTAACCAATTGAACTTACTCATCACTGTTCCCCTTTATAAAGGAACTACATTGTTGTTTTTCTGACTCCCATGTGTTTTGAATTATAGTGTAGCATAATAATCTACCTTGAATCTTATGGTGATATTATTGAAATTTTACTATAGTGGACTTGTGTGTTTAGCACACATGATATAGTATGATGTATTACAGTAAACTTTAGACAATGCTACTTAAAAGTTATACTTCAAGAAGATAAATTGACATTTTGAATAATAATAATATTAACAGTCTACATACAATTTGAGCACATTTAAAATCATATTTATTTTAAAAATCTGATCAAATTGGTCTTATTAAATTTATCATCCAGAACCACTGTGTATTGTTTTTCTAAATGATGAAATTTTAAAGAACTGTTTCATGTTGTTGAAGATAATACCATTACTACTACTACTACTACTCCTACTGACAGAAATAATTCATGAATGTAAACTGGAGGATATCAGTTTTGTTTAGTGATTATAAGTGAACTACTTGTGCGTACTAAGTGTACTGTTTGCAATGTATTTTATTTTGCTTAGTTCAGAGAGAAAGTTTATTACTGAGTGCTGAAATATACAATTTAGGTAGGAGACTTGTAACTTTGATATTTAATAAAAGAAACTATACATATTCTCTTTATAATGTAAGTAGTCAATACTCAATGCACAAATATTTGTTTCTTGTGTGATGTATAAAAGTATGTATTCTTATTTTGAGGTACCTTTTTGAAATAATTGGAAGAGATTAAAGAACATCTAATATCACATGGAAAAAATTACTTAGAAATAGTTAGACATTGTGTCTTATGGCTTATGTTCCAAATTGTTTTTTCTTGACTTGTTTGCTTTATTACTGTAAGTACTTGCATGTAACAATTTGTGCCCATATTTTTTTATTATCCTCCTGTCATTATCTTGTTTGTGCTGTTATTCCATCTTCCCATCCTATCAGAATTGATATGTCAATCTTGGAGATGTGATTTGGTGTTTGACATTTCAGAACAGAGATACAATTTCCATGGATGTTTTTTAAGTAATAACATTAAGGGTAGTGAAATTGAGAAAAATGGTCCCAAAATAACCCCTAAGCTTTCCATAACTTTAAAACATAGATAATCTTAATTAATTTTCAGTTAGCTTGCTCAGAGGGTCATGTCATACAATCCTTTCATGAAAGAATCACTATAAAATTTAAGCAATGAACAACATGATTCCTTGTCACCCAGTGAAAATTGACAATGTGTAAAAGACATGTTTGCTAGTAGATGTACCTAATACTTGTGTGAGAGCTATTGGCTGAAAAATTTAAACTTATGAACTTCACAACAGTAGTATGAGGCGACCTTATTATAAAGGAAAGCTTCAAACTATACCGTCATTTTGTAGATGGAGCCCAGGTAGGGATGCTTAATCACATCCATTGTGGCTAGAATGCTGTAGCCACAAATGTAAATTTGAATGGAACAATTTTGATGGGGCTTCTATAAATGCTTAGCTAAAACAGATATTTTATTTAAGACTTTAGTATACTGTGGTTTCTAATGCATTCATGAACTATTATTTTGCATTGTTTTTATTTTAGTTAATGATTTTTGGTATTATTTAATGATAGCACAGTTTGGGATTTTATTGCCCTGGAAGGGAAAATATATTGAACTTACTCTTCTCAAATGAAAAACACCAAGTTTGCTTAAATAGACACAGTCGTTTGTCCTAAAGTACGTATTACCTTTAATAAACTCAGGACCATTTGCAAGAAAATTATAATGCAGTATTCGTGATAGTGATTTTGTGGGAAAAAACAATGGTTTCAGTCATTTCGTGAAGATCAAACTTCAGCCTATTTTGTTAGACCCAGGAATGCCTACACATTATTCTTTATAATGTATTGCCATTGGTAATTAAACATAATAAAACATGTTTAATAGCACATCTAGTTAGCTCAAAGGGATTCCATATGTTTAGACAACTCAAACTTAAAACTGATGCTTGGTGCTTATACAGTCTCCCTATTGAAACAACTTGTTAAAATAGTACTGCCCACTGGAACTTTTTCATACAGATAAATGTTTTCCAGACAGTAAGAGGGCATTCATATATGAAGAAGGAAAATAACCATTTATTTCGACTCTGAGACCTAGTAGAAAACTTAGGCTATAAAGTAGGCAAAGTTTGTCTTTGGCAACCCCTCATGCTATCCTATTTGAGCACTTCATAGTAGTACTCCATCATTAAGGTTTGCATATCTCTAGAAGGGTTGTATGCTTCAAAAAGCCCTTACTCGTACTTCTTCCTTTTCACCTTCCCCAAATCAGGATGTCCATTATCTTAGAGCAGATATTTTCTGTTAAAAAAGGTTAAAGGAACGCTATCTTATTGAATTAATTCACAATTTTCTGTCAGTGGCTAATAGATTGACATTTTTTCAAAGATGATGTTCATTAATTAAATTTCCAGTTGCTGGAGCTTCAGGCAATCTAACAAGATGGGAATAATTTTAAATTTAGTTATTATTAGGGAAAGTATTTTGGGGACAAGGAACAGTATGTCCCAGGATTAGATTATCTGAACTGTTTTTTGTTCTGTTCTTTTCTACTTCTCAATCTACATTATTATTATTACTTCTAAAACTACATCTTAAAATCTATCAAACTTTTTAATCACAATAAACTATGGCAAAAATGGCATAGAAAAAGGTAAGGGTTGGTGGTCATTTCCATATACGTTGTTAAGTCCATATTTATCTGTATTCCTGTTTTTTTCACAGTACATGACCTATATAACATAAAGAGTTTTACCCTTCTTCCTGTACCTATTATATTGATAAAGAAACAAAAACATTGAATTCAAACTATTCATGGAGTCCAACTTTCCAGATCCTTTGGCTAGATTTCAGGATCTAGGGATCCTGTTTATCATAATCCTTTTTCTTAACGCGAATGCAAGTCATATTACGTATAGATTGGCTAACTGCAATTAAGCTTCTTTAGAACAAAATATTCCCATTTCAAATCTTATTCAGACACTTTTGGCATTTAAAGATCAATGATTGCCGAAATTAGAATAAATCAGTAGTATACTATTTGCCTTCCTATTCAAGAATATAGTAGCATTGATAGGGATTGCTCACAACTTATATTATACTCATAGATGCACTGTTCCTGGTTTTAGTCTTACAATACAAATGAGGTCCATCATATACTTTGAATAAAATTATGTTTGATCACTTAAAATTCAATTTGGTTACTAACACATCAGGGAACTATACCTGAAGATACAGTAAATTCTAAATTATAGGTGTAAGTTTCTTTAAAATATGAAGAATAACATGGAGGAAAAGTACTTTTAAAATACAGAAATCCAAACTTACATTGTATTGGCAAAGTATATGCCTTTCAATTAGTGGCCAGCAAGAAATTTTAGCTAAATGTTTGGAAATATATATATTTATATATAATTGCCAAGTTAAGGTTTGTTTTGTATTTACATTTCCAAACACTGAACAATAGAGCTTATTTGGATGACTGTGTTACTTTCATTCTAGTTGTCTAATAGTGGAAACTAATCTTCAAAAGGTATCTATTAAGCATCTAATTTTATGTGGGCAGTTCTAGAGAATGTACTAAGTACATTAGTTTCTTAATAAATTGTCATAATGTGACCAATTACATTATTTGATTTTTATCTTTCCTATCAACTAAAACTGCTCGGGTCATGTTTGATCTCTCTTTTCAAATTCATTCTCCCTGAAATTTATACCACTTATAGCAAAAAATGCAATTTTGTATTTTAGTATGATAAAATTTTTAATAGGAATGTGGTCTAGCCAGAAACAGCCATTTTAAAAGCTATATGTAAAAAACTTGGTTAAATATCCATATGCCAACATTATTTGGAAATGAGAATTTATTTTGTATTTTATTCCATAGTACAAAAAAAAAGGGGGAGAATCTGGTGTTTCTGTGTCTGATTTTTAAAAAAATAGGAAGTACTGTTGGTAGTTGTGAGTTACATAGACTTCATGAAGAGAAAGCACAATTTGTTATGGCCACATTTTTTAAAAAATCGCTTGCCAACACCTCCCAAGTACTTTTGAATCCCTAAACTTATTTTCTGATATAGAAAATGTTATATTTACTGAGATTTTATTGCATTCCTCAAGACTGAAACGGTGTTAAATAGTATGTGTGTGCAAATTTGATTCACATGCAACTAAAAACGTAAAAGCTGCTGAAAGAAAAATCCCCCAGTGTTCAGAAATACAGTCCCCAACTGTACTTAATTTTTCTTACTATATATATCTTATCTCATTTTATCAATGTTCTCTTTAAAGCACTATTTATTATGACATTAAAGTTTTCATTTATTGTACTAAATTTTTTTATCATGTAAGACCAAATCCAGTAGTGCATTTTGCAGTGTTTTTTTTCCCCTC